AATTATAGTTCCACGTTTGATCGCATTGCCAGAACTGAATATAATTGTTCGGTATTTGTGAAAACACCACGTTTATTTTGTATTACCAACTTTCGATCCGTAAGCATGCATGGACCTTCACCAGTGTAACAAAACTAGCCTATATAGTAGCAATTACGAAGACTGGACTTGTATCGAAAGCTTCGCCAAAATCGAGGCAAAGAAATAACAAAATATCTTCGAAAAGCAATTAATGCAATTATTTAAAAAAAACAAAATGCGTGATAGCGACTATCTATTTATCTCAAAATTTCGGCAAATAGAAATATTTCGAAAGTTCGGTACATTAAAAATATTTTTAGCCTCTGTATCATAGCATAACATGTATGCAAAAGCGCCCTTGAAATCCTATCTCGGAAATGTAAAAAAATTGAAGCACCTAGAATTGCGGTGTCTCACGTATGTTGACCAGTCGACCCTTGACAGCTATATATATGCGAATATTTTTTTAAATCTTAGCATATTTAGATATACGACGCTTCAGATAAAAAGTCAGCGTTTTCACTACAGCTGGAATATCAGGGTCGAGTCCAAGAAAATTTGCAGTACAGGAAACACTCATACTACACGTGACAACTGAGTATGGACGTGACCCGAAGGTCGAAACAAAAATCTTTTGTACATTCAGACGCTGAACAGAGACATTTACTTCTTATAAACTGTTGTGCAAGAAATTGTAAAATATTTATAACACGACTTTGTGTCCCATTTTAAAGTGGCTATGTCATGGTCAGGGAATTTGCGCGTATATCGATTATTTAGGTTATTCTAAGAATTTCTGTAATGTATTTTAAAGTTTGAAATTTTGATATTCATTGACGTTTTGGCTATATAAACTTACACACGTAAAAAGTTGTGTTCGCACTGCTTGTTCCCAGTTGTTGTAACAAAACTGGAAGAAACTAGCTGTTAACCACTTGCAACAAGCATGCATGATGGCGTTATCATTCTTGTTACAAGGCCGTTGTAACGAGTCTGATACAGTCATGATATTGCAAGAATGTTACAAGATTAACAACACAAGGTTGTCAGTTGTCGATTAATGGAGTGTTTTTTTTTCGCCAGGCTGGTGCATTGACACAGGTACTCTGTGAAAGGATTTAAACACAAACTTGAGCAAAAAAATAAATTGATGACTCTGCGCGCAGGCTAATCAATTGAACCAGCCGTATAGCAATGAATTGTTGCACATAATTATGCGGCGTTAATTAATAACCCTTAGAACTGCTAATTACCTCACGCAATTTTTAATGCACATATGCTGGTCAAAGTTTTCAACAATTTATGGCGAACCTCAACAGCGAAAGTTGCCATTCTCTGATCGGTTTTCTTACGCCGGAGTATCTTGGACTTCTTAAGTTACAAGTTATTCCCCGATTTACGGGTACGGGTACGTGTATATCACCCGTACCCGTAAACCGGAATCGGGGTATCTTAACCTCTCTAATATTTCGCCAAACACACGTGCAATTTTTCGTTATACTTCTCAAATCGTGCAATTTCCTATACTATTTCTATTGTCCTATGTAAGTTATTGTAATACAAAAACTTTACTGCCAATTTTCTCAAACAAGGCAATCTCACACGGGACGTGGGACATTAATATTCTCCCTCGTTCGATATTTGTCCTCAGTAATATGCATCAGCCGCAAGTAATATGAAAAAAACATCTTTGAAATCACCAAAATTTAGAATTTCCTAAAAAAAAATTTTCCAAGACCACCGTAAGTTACGCTTGCGATTCAGTTATAATTGTAAAAAGTCTAATATCCAAATTCCAAATTCTGATATCTAACCCAAATTGTTAAGACCAATTGTCTGTAATCCTCATGCAATAGTCCGAGTCGAGGTCCGAGTTGTATAACTAAACTAAACCGTATCCAAACAGGACGAAACAACAGGCGTTTATAATTTAAATTTGTGAAATAGCGTTCGTGAAATATCCCCATCACATAAGAGCGCCAAACTCTTGCAAAAGTTGCAGGTGCTCTGGTTGTAGTTGCTGAAATAGTTCGCGTGGAATAATTGCCATTTGTGGGTTAAAATAAGGTTGCTTTTTTTCTGTAGCAGTCCTGATTAACATGGAAATAAACGTAAAACGTTTCCCTCTTTCGATCGTATCACGCCGTATAGATCACGGAATTCCCTATTCATCTGTGACACAATAGACTAAGGCGGAAAAAAGTCACTGCTCCCCAAACACTAATGCATGCATGTATGACTTTAACAGTTAGGCCTAGCTCTGGGGTACTGATGCGCATAATAGTTTATTTAGTTATACAGCAATGGGACTATGACTATATGCTTGACTAAAGTTTGTTCTGCAATGTAGTTACAAATGATCATTTTAAAATACCCACGAGAAGCCCAATTAAGACCCTGACGCTCTACATAAAGATATTACAACGGACAATTGAGGTTCGAATAAAAGGTAATTTTTGCCAATCGTTTTTAGTGGTTGTGACCTTAAAAAGTAATAAATTAGGGTTTTTATACGCTATTCTATATACTTCTCGTCCTTTTTTACGCAATTCCGCGTTTTATCCTCATTTGCGAAATCCGCTTCCGCCATTCCGTTCCGCAATCCGCATTCCGGGTTTTATCCCAACCCTCTCAAATTCGTCCGGTTCTGTCAGTTCTCGTGTGTTTACACGGCCGAAACGGCCGAATTTCAGCCCGGTTCCAAATTCGTCCGGTACCGTGTAAATGTAGCCTGCGCGCATTCTGCGCAGGCTATGTAAATGTGGCGCCACCATGCAGTATTTTTCATACACCAGCAAAATTCGACATCACAAAATTATTCTGAAAAGTAACTTTTCGAGTGCAGCAGAGCTGTTTTTTAAAACCACTTTAAAAATGGCTAGCGCTGCAACAATACAAAGGATAAAGCCACGCTAATGATCTGTATATATTCGCGATATCATGACCAGATAAGATCGCGTGTTAACTAAAACCATAGCTAAAACTAATCATACAGTATATAGTGCATGTGACCTCATAAGAAACGTTTTCTTGACTATAGTCCTGAATGGTCTACACAGTAATGTTATAAACTATATCTGATTCATTAATTTTCATGCATTATCAAACTTCTACATCCTAAAGCCAGGTGGGAGTCGATTTTCAGTATCAACACGAGGTTTCTCCGCAGATCTACGTTTCCTGTCTTCCACTGGAGCAACGGGATGTGCATCATTCACTTGTGCTGCTGCGTTGTTGATATTCCGCTCAGTAAGCTTTCCCTCGCTCAGGTTGACACAAATGATCACCAAAAGGAATGCGATTATGATGCTCTTGCTCACCCTTTAGATATAAATATATACTAAATAATGTATGCAAACGTTTATGAGCCGTATATATATGTATATATATGTATATACAGCTATTCCAATTAAAGTTGTCCACAAGCAAAGCGGAAAAGTCGAATACGAGCGCGAAAGGCTGCTGGGAATCGCTATTAAATGAATGAATTTATTAGCGATTCCCAGCAGTCTTAGTCGCGCTCGCGTATTCGACTTTTCCGCTTTGCTTGGGGGACAACCTTAATTGAAATAGTTGTATATCCTACGTAGCCATCTCTTGATATATATATATATATATATATATATATATATATATATATATATATATATATATATATATATATATATATATATATATATATATATATATATTTACGAAACACAAACAGTGCTCAATACCATATAGATAGAGCGTAATATAGTTTTTCGATGATTCCTATACAGATGAAACAGACTGTTGTGGTTTTTTGAGGTAAAACGAAAAACTATATATATATATATATATATTGATATATCATCAGGTGGTGAGTAATTTCGAAAATATAGGTTGCTTTTATGCTATCGAAAGAATGTGCGGAATGCGTGTGGGCGAAACAATGCTTAGGCGAAACCGTGCTTAGGCGAAACAATGCTTGGGTAATTAAATTTTGTTAACAACCTTGTTTACTCGAATTCGATTTTTGTGACGAATCTTGCCGAAAATTTCGCTTCTTTTATTGAGTAAATTGTTTTTGTTTATGCCTTTTAAAATGCAATATTTTTCTTCCAGACATAAATTGCAGCGTTTTGATCCCCCCGTGTACGAAATAGCGTGTTTTAAAATTGACCATTTGATGGTATAATCTTGATTGTTTTCTTTTATAAATTTCCAAATATGTTTCGAAAGTTCCGTTTTATTTGAGTCTTTTTATGACGAAAAGATGAAGTGTGGTTAGCGTAACGTTCCTTAAATGTAGTCGCGCTGTCATACCAATGTCAGTACCGGTAGTGTTTAGTGTCGTTCGTGCGTTCGTTGTGACTCATGTGGCTTTGCATGTAAATAATGTTGTTGGTCATACATTGTTTCGGTAGTGGGCAAGTGTTCTTGTTGCGTTGTACGTGTTCTGTCAGTGACGTTTCATAAATGTTTCTAGTTTTGTCGGCGAAAATGAATATATATATATATATATATATATATATATATATATATATATATATATATATATATATATATATATATATATATATATATATATATATATACTATATATATATATATATATATATATATATATATATATATATATATATATATATATATATATATATATATATATATATATATATATATATATAATACTTTGTCGTGGGACGAGAGATGATTTTGGTGCATTGCCAGAATTAAATCACGAAGTAATTTTCAGTCTAGAAAATTGTATAAAATTTTCCGCTCGAAATCTACAAAAATCCTTCAATGCAACTACATGTTATATAGTCCCAAAAATCTCGATGTTTACCCATACCACGGCATCACCCACTATATATACAAAAACTTGAGGTTAGAGCTCGACAAATGGACTCAATTTAACAAAATGATCAGCTTGTTAATATAGAATTGCTGAAGTTGCCTTTCGTCTCATTCTTATCATCATGCAAGCATCAAAATCATCCCACCTCTCATACCGTCCGGGGTAAACGGCGCGTGTGAAAGTGTATATCTATATACTCACATTTTGAAGTACTAAACGTTCTTGACCAATTCGATTGCTCACTTTGGCAGACTGACTGGTGTATCCACATAACCCAGCAATATTCAAGTTATATATATGCTTTCAGGTGGGTAGAAACCATGACGTATGACTTTTTTACCGTGGCAAAGTAGCCGATAAAAACGTCAATTAAAGTTTACTTCGACGTGACATGCTGACGTTGTACATGTTAATTTAGCACCAAATATGGTGCTAAATCAAATCAGTAAAAAGATACAAAATGGTAAGCTGTTAAACATGGAATCTGGAATCTTGGAATTTTGAAATCCTAGAATCATGGAATCTTTGAATGTAACCGCAAAATATGTCTCGAAATATGTTATTATCAAGATATTATTATTATACTTATGCAACATATTGTTGTGCATGTGATAATTTAATATTTGGTGAGTTAGCAGCAGCAGACCTTGATAATATATTATATATACTGTAGCGACTAGCTACGTTGCAGAATTTAATATCTCCATCTTGCCATGTTAATACATAATAATGTAAACGCTGTGCGCGCATCTAAATAATATCGTCGGTTTATGATGAGAGCTAAAATCAAGTGCGTATATATAGCAAGATGACCAGGCGGGAAGCAACTAAACTGAGAAAGTTGAGAAACCATACATAATACATATATATATACATCTAATCACTAATCGCCCTGAATGCCATCATTGCAATCAGGAAAACCTCATTTAGATGCACTATAACACCTCGTATTCCGTCAAAAAACACCACACTTGCGAACAATTGCCGAGTTCATAACTTCATGTATTCTATGTCTTATGTTATAAGACAATAAGCCACTTTGACTCCTCCTCTATTAGTAATAATCAAGTTCTATATTATTGATGATCGATTTCATGTATGCGCGCATTGTATGTTTGAATTTCGCCGAAAAAGCGCTAGATTGCGCACTGCCGCTACAACATTGCCAGTTGAAAAACCATGCAAGTGCTATATAACTCACATAATATGAGCCTCATTAAGGCAGCAAGACAGCGATTTTCTTTCTTGCTATAAGAACTTCATAGACAATGTCTTTATACGATAAAAAGGGCAAAGTCTAGCCAGCTTGATTCTCTTTGCTATTAGTTGGAACCGTTATGTTGTGGCATAGTCACTCACTGGAAAAAATAGTGAAATCCATACTATGGAATTTGCAATTGCATCACTAAATCCATATCATATCATGAAAGAGCCACAACATCACGCAGTTTCGTATTCGACTACCATAAATCCATAATACTGACTTTAATGCCTTTCGCAATGCAATCCAAACGGAAAACCTGTCCGCGGTGATCGATCCTACGTTTGATATTAACGAAAACTGGTCTAACTGGATTACTGCTTTTAATTCACTGATTTCTCGTTAAGTAAAAACTAAAACGCTCAAAAGAAAAAGGAACCCACCTTGGCTAACTGGTGAAATCTTACATGAATTGCAGATAAGGCGGTGATAATGGAAATTAACTTAATGTTTAAAAACACGGCTTGCCGACTCACTAAACATTCATGGAAATGTACAAAAATATTATCACGGAACCTTTTACTCTTATACTGCAATGCTGTAATTAGAAACTTAAAGATTATGCTACTGATATGAAAATATTGCTGTGAATACAACGTCTCGCACAATGTCAATATAATTTGCACTAAAACGATCGTTCCAGATTACATTGCTTAGGTATCTAATTGTAGGACCAAAGTTGGTTGTACTCTGGACAAAATCTACGTATTTATAGCGACCGACATTAACGTTGTCTTGTGAGTCGGCAAGTCCAACGCGTTTTTTGCGTGATGAATTCACGCTCGCCATGATCATTAATATAGGCCCCTGGTGACAAAATATTATGAAATACATTAATACACAATGCCATAAACCATTTGCAACTAGTAAGTAGTGTATTCAAATAATATGCGAGGAACAGAGAGAAAAATATGTACAGAAGTACAATATGATAAGTACATATTTTACATATTGTACATATTGAGCGAATATTCGACAGGACTCGTATGCTGGGACCATGTTGTAGCGGCAGTGCGCAATCTAGCGCTTCTTCGGCGAAATTCAAACATACAATGCGCGCATACATGAAATCGATCATCAATAATATAGAACTTGATCACTAGTATAGAGGAGGAGTCAAAGTGGCTTATTGTCTTATACTGACATAAGACATAACCTTAATTTGTTGAATATAGACTATATGAACTCGCAAATTGTTCGCAAGTGTGGTATTTTTTGACGGAATACGAGGTGTTATAGTGCACTAATTGATGTTTTCCTGATTGCAATGATATATATGTATGGCTTCTTTAGTTGCCTCCCGCCTGGTCATCTTGCCACGCACTTGTTTTTAGCTCTCATCATAAACCGACGATATTATTTAGATGCGCACACAGCGTTTACATTTTCATGTATTGGCATCAAGATGGAGATATTTTAATATCTATTTAAAAATTCTGCAACGTAGCTCCAAGGGCTGCTTCTGCTAACTCACCAAGTATTAAATTATCACATGCACAACAATATCTTGCATTAAATATAATAATAATATCTTGATAATAACATATTTTGCGGTTATATGATTTTTGATGCGGATATTCCAGGATTCCAAGATTCCAGTATTCCAAGATTCCAGATTCCCTGTTCACAGCTTACCGATACAAAATAACACCTTTTCGGCCATTTTGACACCACCGTTAAGGTCGCAAATTAACACCTAAGTAAGGTGCTAAAATAGCACCGTTTTTGGTGTCACAACAACAACAATTTATTGGAAGCATTCCAATATACGTAATTCATAAATGGTATTGCCTACGACTACGTAACAAAATACTGAACAATAAAACTATATTAAATTAACCCTACGCCGGGCTACGGCTACGTATTATAATAGTTTTAACTAAAGCCCAAAAGTGTTATTTACAGTAATAAATTGTCTTTTCTTAATACAAAAGCTTCAAAAATGAACCATATGCAATTTTTTTGCATACAAAAGGATCAACATTGTTAAATAGGAATAGAACTTTTTCCGTAGTATTCATTCTTCTAAAGTAAAGTTTTGATACCGACTGTTCATATCATTGTGTGGAGTAGTTCTAATTTGGTTATACATGAATATACAATGGAATAAAAAATGTGTTTCATTTTCTATGTATTGACTATTGTGACCCACAATGGTCACATGTTCTTAGATTTTGTGGTATTTTGGGACAGCTATGTCTTCCTATCTCAATTTTTAAATTATATGGTTTCCCATTCGAAGCTTCGCTGTGGCTTTACGGTGATTCCCATTTTTTATCAACTCCAAAAATGACGAACATTTGGTATCGTATTTGAAAGTTGAATAAAAAACAAGTTTTCTATTTGACTTCAGAAGATGAATTTGATGTAATTGGCATTGATGTTCTATATTTTGTTTAATTTTAAATAACCATTTATTGTTACAGTTGTAAATAGCTAATGATAATTGAACGTTGTTGTCTCGCTCGAGGTCTCGCTATCATTATGAAACTGTCAGTTACGCATTTAGGTTCTGCAAACAGCTACAATATAATAAATAGAACAATCTTTTGAACAATTTTTATTCTAGCATAGCAATTTTGTCATTTAGGTAAAGCAGCATGAAGAGATATGCATTAAAATTTAAATAAAAGAAAATATGTTGTTTCGTAATCTTAATGAGTCAACTTGTGCAAGCTAGATGTTACTCACGGGACAAATTTCAATGATGATCCGTAAGACCGTAACAATCAAATTTCGTGTAGCATCCGTAGTCATTGGTCACATTGACTTAAAGGAGCAGTGTCACCGTCTGCGCATCTCTTCTGCGCATAGCAAACTTGAAAAACTACAGGATGTAGTTTTTCAAGTTGATACTCAAGATATATATATATCTGGAACGATAACATTCAGTCATTTGATTGCGAAAAAAATGAAGCCTCGATACCAGTCTTTCACGCGGATTGGACGTCAGTCTCAGTCCCTCAAACGTCAGGTTTACGCGGATTGGA